GCGCCTACTGCTAGGGGCAGACGCCGCACCGACCGACTCTAAACCAACGAGGTCGGCCGCAGCAGCAGAGGCGACAGAGGGTAACAGGGGGGAAGGAGAACACCCCTCAAAGATGGGGGCGTGCGGGTCACCACGAGAGGCCCCTACAGCGACTATGCTCTTCTCGGCCGCTAGCAGGGACTTCTCGAGGAGGTCGACAGTGAGGGTGGTGGGACAGACAGAGAGAAACTGGTCCCTAACTACACGAAGGGACTCAGGGAGACGGGTGACGAGAAAGTAGAGGGTGATGTACATGGGAGGGGGGTTTGCGGCGCAGAAGTCAGCAGGAAGCGCAGCTCGGTAGCGAGTGTCACTAGCGCGGAGGTGGGTAAAGAGGTCAGCGACTGTGGGAAAGGCAGCAAGGTCAGGGAAGAGGTACGGTAGCATGAGGCGGCTCAGTGTAGCAGAGGAGGGGGAGGAGTAGCGCGCAACTACAGCGTCGTACAAGGCCTGAGCGGTCTTGCACTGACTAAAGTGTGCACGCTCGGAGGAAGGGAGGTGGCGACGCACAGCAAGACGTGCAGCGGCATCGCGTGAGGCCCACTTGGAGCGAACAGTGGGGTCAGCATCAGCAGGAGGGGCAGGGACAGCGCCAGAGACAAAGTCAAAGAGAGAAACTTCATCTACCGTATCGCACAGCAAGTACAGCTGCAGGTTGTCGAGCTAGACCGCAAAGTCAATGGCGTGACCCTCAGCGTCAAAAGCCAGGACAGTAGGGGTGGCCATGACAGCAGGGATAGTCTCACCAGACAGGAAGGGTCGGTCAGCTAAGCAACACAGCAACACGGCAGTACGGCAACTCCGCCGGCCTAGGAGCAGCAGTAGCCCCACAGGAGCAGGAGCTCGGCACCTCAGGCGGCTCGGGCGGCTCGGGCGGCTCGGGCACTCAGCGGCACGGGCGACTCGGGTGGCGCTGCTGCTCGGGCGGCCCGTGCGGCTCGGGTGACACGGGTGGGACGGGCGGCGCGGTCGGTGTGGTGGGCGGCTCACGGGCGGCTCGCGGGCAGCTCACGGGCGGCGGCACGGGCGGCTGCACGGGCGGCTGCACGGGCGGCTCACGGGCGGCGGCACGGGCGGCTCACGGACGGCGGCACGGGCGGCTCACGGACGGCGGCACGGGCGGCTGTACGGGGGGGGCTGCACGGGCGGCTCACGGACGGCGGCACGGGCGGCTCACGGGCGGCTGCACGGACGGCACGGGCGGCTCACGGGCGGCACGCTGGGCGGCTGCATGGGCGGCTGCACGGGCGGCTGCACGGGCGGGTGCGCGGGCGGCTGCACGGGCGGCAGCACGGGCGGCGCGTCGAGCTGCTGAGGGCGACGCACGGGCGGCGCACGGGCGGCGCGCCGGGCGGCTAGCGGGCGTCGGGCGCTAGGGCGGCGACGGGCGGCGCTCAGGCTCGAGGACGGGCGGCGCTCTGGCTCTAGGGCGGGCAGCGCACGGGCGCTAGGGCGGGCGGCGCTCAGGCTCTAGGGCGGGCGGCGCTGAGGCGCTAGGGCGGGCGGCGCTCAGGCTCTAGGCCGGGTGGCGCTCAGGTTCTAGGGCGGGCGGCGCTCAGGCTCTAGGGCGGGCGGCGCGCGGGCGTCTAGGGGCCGTTAGGGCAGATCGAAAAAAAAGGAAGAGAAAGGGCCCGGAGCGCGCTCCGGGCAGAAAAAAAAGTTACGAGGTAGTGGTGGTGGGCCCTAAGCACAGTTCCCACAGGGGAACCTGCTCGATACCATGAGAAGAAGTGAACGAGAATGAATGAACTATGAATGAAGTGAGTACAAATATGAAACCCTAATTGGGTTGTACCCCCTATGGGATACCCCACTATAGCCTACACAACAGCATAAGCTATAATGTTCTGACACGACCTGCTCTGATAGCATGTGAAACGTTTGAAGAGAGAAAAGGGTTGCACTAGCAAGAATGGGGATACAAATAGCAAACCCTAGAAGGGTTGTACTCGCTATAGAGCACCCCACTACAAGCTAGAGCATAAGATATCATTCTGACACTGAGCGCGCTACGGGCAGGAAAAAAAAGTTCGAATTGGTGGGCCCTAGGAACAGTTCCCACGAGGGAACCTGCTCGATACCATGAGAAAACTAGAACGAGAATGAATCCACTATGAAACAGTTGGGTACAAGTACTAACCGTAATTGGGCTGTACCCCATATGGGCTACCCCACTACAGCCTACACAAAAGTATAAGCTATAATGTTTTGACAGTGAGGAAGCGAAGGTGTGGGTGCGGTCCGAGAAGAGATCGTAGGCTCTGAATACCAAGTGTTACGAGTGCAATTGAGTGAGCGAGCGACAATTGCTCTATCGAAGCAAGAGTACAATGAGCGAAGGCATGAGCGAAGAATATATAGCGAAACTACAGTGGTAACGGTAATGAACTGTGGTTGTTGCGCGACGGGCCTGGGACTGAGGTTTGGGGAATTGTCAAAGCGGAGGCCCGGAGCGCGGGTTACCCGCCGAGCCGTGAGGTCGGTGTGCGACGTGCGAAGGTGGCAGGAGGATTTGTCGATGCGATGGTTGCGAGTGGTAACGGTGCTGACTGTGATGCTACAGTGGTGTACGCGCTGAGCGGGGACGCGAAGTAAGGAAAAGGAATTTTCCTTACATCACCCTTACCTATTTTCACCACTTCTATCTTCCTTGTTTCCTTACTCTCGCTCTCATCAAATCTTTGACTTTGTATTGTAGCGAGATAATACATCCGCTGGTCCAGCACGATTGTTTCAGATATGGACACAGGCATGTCAGAGGTCCACTGGTGATCCCCGATTGATCCTAGGGAAGGGTTACAGGCACGTTGGTCTGGGGGGTTATGGGCGCACTGACCCGCTACTTAAACTAGCCCTTTTATCCCAATGGTCTAGTGGTTGGGATTTTGACATGGTATCAGAACGAAGGTCTCGGGTTCGAATCCCGGTGTATGCACTTCGGGCATCCCAGTGCGGAGGGGGTGTCAGAGGTCCACTGGTGATCCCCGATTGATCCTAGAGAAGGGTTACAGGCACGTTGGCCTGGGGGGTTATGGGCGCACTGACCCGCTACTTAAACAAGCTCTTTTATCCCAATGGTCTAGTGGTTGGGATTCTGACAAGGCACTGCTGCCCCCCAACTCGCAAGGGTTCCTAGCGACTTCGTGCAACCATCGGTTTTATCGCCAGCCCATCGCGCAGGTCTCGATGAGGAAGTTCGGTGGGAAAAGATCAACGAGGGGCCGAACAGTGACAGGGGGGTGATCGACCAGGGGCCAAGAGGTCCGGAAATTCCCAAACCGCTGCGCATAGAGGTATTAACATAGGGTCTTCCTTTTTTGCACGTAATCATGTTATTAGTGGCATGTACCGGCTCGCATTTTCGCTCGCGTGTCGTTTAGCGAGCCGAATCTACTGGAACTTTTAGGGCAGCAAAAAAAACATGGATGCATTTTCGGGATGGGTCAACCCTAAAACGGATAACTTCCTGGTATTTAGGGTTGATGCCTCCTGAGTCGTATCTGTTTCCGAATGGGTAATATATTTTTTCCAGTGCGTCTACGATCGGGTAGGTGGTATTTATCACCCAGAATATAATATGTTATACGTATTCACGATTTGATCCGCCGAACTTTACTTCCAGAAGAAGGAGACGCGCGCGCTGTGGTAGACGGAGGTCAAAACCCTCAATAAAAAACATGAATACACAATCTGGTTCTTTTAGCAAATATCGTTTAATTCCAGTTGGGCAGTTCTGGGCTGAAATCCTACGGTCGAGATTTACCGGTCCTACATTGAACACCTCTCTGGCAGTGTTCGGCCCCTGGTCGATCTTTTCCCAAGTTCGGTGAGCCGTCAGCCACAAGCTCCGCCACCGCGCTTCACCCGAACAGATCGTGTGGTCCCAACGCGCCCACACTGTAGCACGACTGGTCACTCACTGAGTTCCCTCGCTCACACCCCGCTCCCTTCTCGACATTCGTTCAAGATTGGGAGGACACTTGTACAGAGATGTTTACGAAACCATTGGTTGCGAAAAGTACACTTCCGCTATCACGATTTTGTTGTAACCACCCGTCTTTGTCTTGCGGGAATGGGGCATCCTAGAGAATCCATTCACACGCGCACCATTGAAACCAGATCGTACTTGAAGAGTTGGGCCCAGAAAGGAGAAGTGAGGAGAGGAGAGGAGAGGAGAGGAGAGGAGAGGAGAGGAGAGGGGAGGAGTGACTGGTGAGCGAGATCGGGACTGGTTGCTGGGAGCGTCTGGCGAGTCGAGCCAGCGCCATTGCCGCGGCGTGATTGTTTACGTGCTGCGGCACTGCGTCCCGCTTGGTCCTCGCGCTCCCAGCATCATCTTTCTTCAAGCGAGTCCAGAGATTAGGACTCCGAGTCCCGAACGTTGGAGCGGCTCTTTCGGAGAGATAAGGAGACAAAGAGAGAGTCCAGGCTGTGGTTGCACGGGATCCAGGCTGAGGTGACAGACCCCCAATCTCGCGACAAACGTTTCAAGTGACTCGACTCGACCGCAATCTCTCCTCTCTTGTCACCCAGCCTCCCACCACCTAAGCGCGCTCGTTCCCTTCCACACACCGGTCTCCGTCCCTTGCCGCACTGTTCTTTTTTTGAGGCGCCTCAAAAGTAGACTCCTCACACCGGTCTCCGCCGCTCGTCACACCGTTCTACCGCTCCTTTGTGACGAACCACGAGACACACCGCTTTGTACGCGACTTCTCGTGCCGGACGTGACCATCCCGCTGCTTTCTGCTCTCCTCGCCGCATTTGCGGACTCTGATTGATTCAGATTCGGATCTGGCAGAATGGTCGCGAGTCTGTTCGTCGAGGCGGCACGCGGCGCGCAGCTGGAGGTGCTGCGACAGGCGACGGTCTGGGAGCGCATCTCCGTCGCGACGACGCTCGCGATAACGTTCGCGAAAGAGCTGGTCGGGATATTCGGTAACGCGCCGTACGGGTTTCACGCCATGGCGATGTATCGGAGCGTGTTCTACGCCAGTAAACGCGGGCTCGAAGGTCCGCGGAGCACTGGCGGAAACGGAGGCGGGGAACTGGACGCGGCGGAAGGGGAGATCGCGCGCGGAGAAGCCGGGGATGCGGAAAGCCCGTCCGCGGCTCGGCGGTCGGCGATTGGGATCCGGAAAATGCGGAGACAGCTGACGTCGACAGGTAGAACCGGCAGGGGGAAGGATTGGGGGAGGATCGGGGGAGGATTGCGGAATGGAAGGCGAGGCGGAATGGGGCCATGGAGCAGGTTGTATAGTCATGGAGGGAGAGGACAGGGGGAAAGGGAGGAGGAGTGGGGCATGGAGCAGGTTGTATAGTCGGAGGGAAAAGGTGAGCGGGAAAGGAGAAGGTTGCAGGGAGGGAAGGGAGACGAGAATGTGACGGCGCAGAGCAGATTGAGAAGCTGCTCGATTGCTATTGGTTAACATTCTCCTTCCCCACTTGCTTTATCGAAGCGGAGGAATCATGCTATACCTTTCCCTTACTACCTCCTTTGGTGCTGCTTGCTTTCCCCTTATTGGAATGGTGTGTCCTGCCCTGATTTGGCACGGCATGGGGCTGACGTGGCATGACGTGGCTTTTCAGTGTGGAACTGGGCGTCGTCGATGGAGGCGATGCTGTGGCAGGGTCTGCCACATGGCGGCGTGCAAGTGGTCTACGACATCCGCTACGGCCCTCGTCTGCGCAACACGTACGTGGCGGGGGAGGGGATGATGTGCATGTGATGGGATGACGAGGCATGGAACGGGATGGCCTGGGATGTGTGAGTGTGCCGATGGGGATGGGGATGGGGATAGGGATGGGGATGGGGATGGGGATGAGGAGGGGGATGACTGGTGGACATGTGATGGCATGATGTGGCATGGGCAATGCGCAAATGTCGGATTTGGATTCCCAATTCTCGGGTTTCCCAATGTCTTGATCTCTGTTGTATGACACGTCATTCAAGACAGTAACCCCCTTATGACTTGTGTCCCTCCCTTGCCTACCACAGCCTTGACATCTACATGCCACCAGATCTGGCACTTGACAGCAATGCAGCAGAAAGCAGCAACAGCAGCAGCAGCAGCAGCAACGAAGGAAGCAAGGGGCGGCCGGTGTTGTTTTTTGTGCACGGGGGAGTGTGGGCGAGTGGCGAGAAGTGGATGTATTCTCCGCTCGCAATCCGATTCGCTCAGTCAGGGGCGGTGGTGGTAACCATTCAGTACACTCTCTACCCCGAGGTAAGTCACATGTACACCCTCCATTCCCTCCTCCTCCCACCCCCATAGCCCCCTCATCCTCATAATTCAGCTCATCTGTTGCGACTGCTGCTGAGAATAATGGCACAGGGGAGCACATGAGCTGCTCCCGTGTCGTCTTCCCCGTCTTCGCTTCTCAGTCTCTCCTCCCGCTCTCGCGTCCTCTCCAACTCCCGTCCTCCTCTCTCTCCCCCACTTCCAGGCCCATGGCGTCGACCAGGCTCAAGAAACGCCAGCTGCGCGCGCTCTCATGGGCATTGGATCACATTCACGAGTATGGGGCAGGCGACCCTTCCCAGATCCCTCACATGTGTTTCCCTTCCGCTCCCTCCCCCCTCTCCCCAACCCAGGCTCTGGCCATAGAACAAGTAGAGGAAACGTCCAGGGCGCTCTCATGGGCAATGGACCACATTCACGAGTATGGGGGCGACCCCTCGCGCATCTTCCTCACAGGCCACTCCTCGGGCGCCCACGTCTGCTCCATGGTTGTGTGGCGCCGCCTCAGGTCTGCCCTCCGCCGCATGTTCCAGGCGCATGGAAAGGATGTAGCATCACCACCCACGGCTGTAGCAGAGGGCGACAGCAGCAGCAGCAGCAGCAGCAGCAGTGGCGGTGGCGGCAGCGGCAGCAGCAACAGCAGGGAGGGTGAATTGCCTCATTACACCCTCAAGGGAGAGGATCTCTGGTCTCTAGACGAGCCGGACCTCCGGCAACCCTACTGCTTCCTGGGCATGAGTGGCGTGTACGATATAGCCCACCACCAGAGGCATGAGCAGGCTCGGGGCGTGTTCGCTCTCTCTGCCATGTCGCCTGCTATTGGCGGGCCGGCACGGTTCGTCGCATCCTCGCCTGCTCTGTTGTTTGACGCTCTCGCGTCCGCTGCTGCTGCTGCTGCCGCTGCTGCTGCTGAGGCTGCCGCTGCTGGTGCTGTTGGTGGCGCTGCTGCTAATTCTGCTGTTGGTGATGCCTCTGCTGCTGCTGCATCGTTCGGAGCGTCATTTGACTGCCCAAAGAGTCCTCTCCTGACTGCCACTGCTGCTCGTACTACTGCTACTGCTTCCGCACCTTCCGCCCCTTCCACCTCTGCTGCTGCTAGAAGCAGGGCGCTTGAGCAGTTAGCAGCAGTAAGCGCTGCTGCTGCTGCTTCCCTCAGGCCCTCCCTCTCTGCCGCCCTCAAATCCGCGTCACCGCACTCGATCGCTACGTCAGCTGGTCCGAACGCGGCGTCAGAGGGCCCAGACGCCAGCCAGCTGGTCCCCTTATCAGGTGGTCCCCGTTCAGTGAAACCATCAACAGACTTCGGTAAAGCAATCTCCAACCACCAACCAGCTGCTTCCAAGTCATCATTAGTGTCATCCTCGTCAGCAGGAGCAGACCCAGCAGCAGCAAGAGCAACGGGCATTAGGGGTGACCATGTAGGTGCAAGTGGCGCTGGTATGTCTGTGACCAGGACAGAAAGGGGAAGCGCAATCTCAGGAGGAGAAAATCCCACCTCAGTTGCAGATGCAGTGAACAGAGCAACGTCAAAAGAAGTAGCCAAACAGGCCCTTCGATCCCACCTCCTCAAGTCATCAGCTTTCAACCAATCACTGAATGCCACACCAGCTGCCGCCATGCCGCCTCCAGCGTCATCCTTGCCAGCATCTTCACCACTCCAACCAGCCCAGGAGTTTACCGTCCCTCCGCCCTTCTCCGTCCCGTCCTCCTCTTACACAGCTGCAGCAGCAGCAGCAGCAGCAACGGTGGCAGCAGGAGCAGCTCCCACTGGAGAACAGTCTCCCCCTGCAGGAAACGCCCTGTCTCCCCCTTCCAACCAAGAAGCATCCTCCTCTCAAGAGGCGGACCCCCTCTCCTCTGATTGCTTCTCCTCCCGGTTCCTCGCCCCGTCGCCGCCCTCGCCTCTGGACATTCTCAGGCAGGAGCTGGGAGCTGGTGTTGCTGAAGCTGTTGTGGCTGCTCTTGCCTCAGGTCAGCTCACCCTGCTCTCCTCACCCCCATCCTCCTCTTCCTCTCCATCCTCCTCTACTTTCCCATCGTCGTCTTCATCCTCCCGTCCCTCCTCCACCACCACCTCCTCCTCTGCTTCTCCAATTCCCTCTTCTCCCGCCCCCCCATCCTCCACCCCTCTCCTCCCCATCATCCTTCTCCAATGCAGCACAGCAGATTACGTAGTTCCTCCTGAAACCTCCCTCTCCCTCATCCGCTCACTTCAACACCTCAACTCCTTCCTTCTCCCCTCGCCTCCTCCTAGCCTGCTCAAGCTTGGGGGAGAGGGGGGAGGATTGGCAGTTGAAGGAATTGGGGTAACGGGGGAGGGATCGGGAGGAGTAGGAGCGGGAGTGGGGATTCGGGCGAAGGCTTTGGTTTATGACGACGCTGGTCATCCGGATTTTGCGTGCTGGGCTGTGAGGGGCGAGAGGAGAGGGAGAAGGGATGGGGAGGTGAATGGGGGAGAGGGTAGCGTTCAGGGTGGATCAAAGGGCGGGGTGAGTGAAGAAGGGAAGGAAGAGGAAGGGGAATGGAAGGGAGGGATGTTAATGAGGAGCAAGAGCATGAGGAAACTGAGTCAACTGAGTCAAGAAGCAGAGGGGCGAGAGGGTGATTCAGGGACCAAGGATGGGGAGGAAGGGGATGAAGTGGCAGAGCAGGTGTTATCCAGTGGAGGTGCTTCTGATGAGATGGCTTGTGTGCGAGATAGCCTTGATATTGTCACTGGGCGAGTGTCGCTGGAAGATATGGTGTGGCAGTAGTGTGGGGAGGAAAGCCTTGTGATACCTCGTGTTAAAACCAGGGTCTCAAGTAAGAGATTTTGCCATCAATTGCAAAACATTTGAGACTTGCGTTACCTTGTGTTTGTAGGCGAGTTGGACTGGTTGGCTAGGGAAGTTGGCGTGCGACACTCCCCCTATTTTGCCTCAGCACCAATTGCAAAACAAATTTCAGGTACGAGACTCTCGACAATTCTTGACATTTCACTGGCACTGTAGCTTCGGCTCCGAACCTGTTTCCATACCTAGAATGCTTGGAACACAGCAAGCGATTTAGTTCCCTTCGCATCCCTCGCTGCACCCCTTTTCGTTTTTTAGGGCTTGTCAACCAATGGGAAACAAATTATCTACAACTGCAAAAAATATATTTTTTAAACACACACCGTCATACCCCGGATATAAGCGCCACCCGCGGATAAGCGCCTGGCGCTTTTAATTGGCGTGTGGCGCTTATATCCGGTGCTTGATTATAAGCGCACCCCCTGAAGGCTTACGTATTATAAGAGCCACCATTTGTATTAGTTTTTATAAAGTTACTGGAATCTCTGTAGCGAAACACACTATTTGCATCCGCACTTGGTGAAATTTCGACCCTTCACCCTCGCGCGACTCACTGCCCCTCCCTCGCGCGACTCAACTGACTGCGCGTCCAGTCAGAATGAGCTGTCATGGGGCGAAATGACTCATTCTGACAGTGTGTGTTGGCAGTTAGCAAACTTACGCGAGATTCTTCTTCACACCCACTATGATCTTGACTCGTTTGAAATCGCAATGACAAGATGAACATTTTGAAGTGAAAACAACTAGATTTCATATATGTCATTGTATAAGCCCCGGCGCTTATAAATTTACTCGATTATAAGCCCACCCCCTAAAAAAAACATGTTTTATTATTGCCCCCCATGGGGGCTTATCCGGGGTATGACGGCATTGTATTTTTTAAAATTGTGTATTGTGAAAGCGAAGCTGCTTGTACTGCACAATTGGCATCGTCGAAGCGCGCTAAACGCCCTTCTCCAACTACAAAAACCGTGGGTTGGAGTTCATTTCCCTACACCCACGCTTCTCGATTTTCAAACGGCTCACTCAACATTCCCAACCACCCAGCCCAGAGTAAACCGCCTTGCTAATGCCACTTGGATAGGGTACATCTTAGCTAGTATTATTCGATTGCACTAGCTTGTGTTCAACGTTGATGCAAATGTTGTAATAAGCCATTTGTAATGAGAACGATGCCAATTGATGAGAATAAGAAAGCAAGCTTTCTCAATCAAATGATCTACATGAGACCCTGGTTTTAAAGCACTAAGGGTTGATTTCTTCACACAATTTATCGATCTGTTTTGTATGCAGTAGAAGCTGTCGGTTTGAACTTGCTTGAATCAGTGCTTCAGCTCAGGATAATACATTAACACTGGGTTTTTCAACTTACGTCTGTTTTGATTACTCTGGGTGATACGGTACAGTGTGCCTCATGGGTTCCAATTAGACAATTAATTCTCCAATCTAATGTTTTACAACTGTTTTGAAAGCCAGAGCCATATTGTAGATCATCAGTTAGATGGCTCCGTTATGAAACCTGGAACTTGTATCCTGAATTGGTCCATGTGAGGACGCGTCACCTCTTTCTTCAGGACGGCGATCGATCGTGCACACGATCGGTGTGTCGGGTGTACAGTACTTTCGCGAGTTGGCGAAACGTGCTGTTTCCAAGTTTCGGGAAATTTCGAGAATGTACAGTAAATTGGTCATCCAGAAAGTGTCACCTAGGGCTCACGCGATCGATGTGCCAAAAGCCGACCATCGATCGTGCAGTTGTGGCGATCGTGCAATTTTGCCCCATAAAATTCCTAGCTTGTCACCTGTGGCTCGGCGGAGCCCCGCGGTCGGAAAAGTGCAATGGAGCACACCGATATGCACACCGATCGCGGCAAAATCGGTGTGTTGTACCGATTCCCCCTCGATCCTGCCATTTTGGAAAGAGGTGACGCGGCCTGGGGAAGAGTGGTTGCTTTTGTCGCGACGCGAGAATTCACTTCCCGCCTTTGCGAAGCTCACCAACGGCTACTTGACTGAAGCGCGCTATTTTGTCTCGGCATCAGCAGGAGGTCTCGTGTCAGCGATTTCTGATAGCTGACTGAACGGATGGAGCGCATCCTCCTTGGCGAGGTGAGGTGAGCTCTCACTGATGGATGGACTTCTTCCTCAACAAAAATCTGTCAGTCAGTCACCCCAGCTACCAGTTTAGAAACGAGGAGTAGTTTTTGTGAGATCAGTTTTTACTGTGTTTAGCTACTTGTTCCTGCTTAAATCCGTGTCGATTTGAGCCGAGTTTCTCTAACCATGGATTCTCGTGCGCATATTAACAGACTGTCAGACGACCTCCTTATTAGGATCCTGTGGCATACCTCCAAAACACGGCTGTCTGCTGTTTACGACACTGATGCTACATGCAACAACGCGACATGCAAGGATGCTTTATGCGGCAATGCTACGCGAGACGATGCCACGTGCGACAATGCTCCATGCGACAATGCTACATGCGACTCTTTATGTCCGAGGCAGAAATACTTCTGGACAAAGATTCCACCCAAGGGCTCAAGCAGTAGCAAGAAGAACTCTTTCGTACCAACTCCTCCTGCCTTCACCGATGCAGCTCTTAGTCTCCTCGTCGCTTCCGTCTGCCGTCGCTGGCGCCGTCTCTCCCAGCGTTACGTCTCGACACTTCTCGTCAGGAAAGATCTCGCCGTTTCTCGCCAAGACCTCGCCAATGCCGTCTCTTGCTTCCCGAACCTGACTCGCCTGCATCTGTGCGACGGAAGCGTGGAAACAATAGACGACGCTTTCCTCTCGCACCTCGTCTCGACATGCACGAAGCTGACGGTTCTCCACGTTGGAAGCAGGATCACTAAAGATGCGGACGTCGAGGAGAGTAGGCGCTTACACCCGATTACCAAAACTGGCTTGGATCGCTTTTTTAGGGATGCACGCAGCTGGAGGTTCTTTCCCTTGACCGCCTTGGATCCGCGCTCCACCCGAAAGTCGTCTTCCTGGCTTCGCTCTTCCAGCTCTCGCGGCTCCGCACTCTCGTCCTCCCAGATGCATCAGCGCTGACCGCTCCCGGGTTTTCGAACCTTTCATATCTCAGCTCAATCCGCATAACCGCTTTAAAGCTGATATTTCACCACCTCTTGAGTCTCGTCCACCTGCCGCGGCTTACAAGCCTGGCCATCAGCTACGACCCCGAGTTTGAGGCACCACCGGGAACGTTTTCCGTCTCACAGCTGCCGAATCTGAAATCTCTGCAACTGGAAGGAGAGGTTTCGCCTTTTATCTGGTTTCTTCCCTCGGGATTGCCGTGCACCAGGCTGGAGCGGCTGGTGATCAAGGGTTCCTACTTCCTTGACAGCTTCCGGACGACCTGGGAGAGATTTTGCCGTGTCTCCACGAGCTGACCCTTAGCAACTGCTCAGGACGCACCCAGCTCCCCGGAGATTTCACGTCACTGGCCCGGCTAGAGAACCTGAAGATTTCCTCGTGCGTCGGATTTTCCAGCCTGCCCGACAACTTCGGCCACTTATCTGCCCTGAAGAGATTGGAGCTGCGCGACCTGCCTCTCACTGACCTCCCTGACTCTTTCGGGCAGCTTGAATCCTTGGAAACACTTACCATGTACATGCTCCCCCTCGCGGAGCTTCCGGAATCCTTCGCGTATCTCACATCTTTAAAGACCCTGCTCATGGCTGGTTGCCGCGCATTCCGCCAGCTTCCAGCGAGTTTTGGCCGTCTAGGAGCTCTCAAGACGCTGTGCATGGTAAAGCTGCCGCTGCTGAGGCTTCCCAAGGGCTTGGAGGGAATGGCTGCCATACAGAGAATGTTCCCAAATGATGTGTTCAATCCGCTGCAGCTGCCTGATTCAGTTACCCAGCTGACTTCGTTGACCCGGCTTGACATGGATCTGGTTTCAGATGAGAAGCTTTCGGAAGGGATTGGGAAGCTGAACCAGCTGCGGCACCTGAGCATTCAGTGCTGCTTCAATCTCAAGGAGATCCCAGAATCCGTGACAGCGCTGACGAATCTACATACCCTGACAGTTGGGATGTGCAACGAGCTCGTCTTATTTCCCAAAAAACTAGACACCCTTGTGAAGCTGAGACGGCTGGAGCTGACTGGATGTCACCCTTCCCTGTGGCTGAACGGACCTGCTACTTCCCTGCCTTCCTCTCTTGAGTCCCTGAGCCTGGGGAGCTACAACTAGACCGTTCTTCTGCCGAACCTCCCTTCGCTGCCGAATCTCAGGAAGCTGACGTTGAATCTGGTCGATGTGGCGGGTGGGGAAGCTGGTGTGTCTGAACCCAGCGCATTGCCAATGTTGCAGCATCTGGAGTTGGTGTTGGCGGAAGA